TGTTTTATATGAATGTATCTTTGAAAAGAACCGACCGTTTTCAGAAAAGCTTTGGTGTCATTTTAATTTTGTCTTTCCTGTAATGCCTGATAAAGTAGCGTTTGTGAGCGCAGTCCCAGTGTTTATTAGATTACAGCCGTTACCGGGGAAACCGCTATATCTCCTGCTCCAACAGCGTCTCCTGCTGGCGTAGAATGAATTAACATTTGCAAGTCTGTGGGAAACACTGGTGTCTGTCAGCAAACATAAACAAAAAGCAAGCTTCAGAACTGTTTTGAGAAGGTGCTTAAGTTTTGAGCCATGTATTATTACTCTAAATAAGGCTACTACTACTATTACTTTCTTGTACCCTGCAATAATCATTTACTCAAACTCACTTTTATGAGATGAAGGGGGAAAAAAAGAAAAAAAGAAAATCGGCCAAACATATCGGCCAAAAAAATCGGAGGCCTCTCTCATCTTTTTAAGTGGGAGAACTTGCACAATTGGTGGCTGACTAAATACTTTTTTTCCCCACTGTATATCGGCCGCCCTGATTTCTAAATATCGGCCAGTGAAAAACCCATATCGGTCGACCTCTAGAGTTAATCTATAATGGCTACAACAAATGACTGTTGCATAACAAGGAAACCAGAGTCTGTTCTGTCAGTACACTGAATGAGCCGCTTATATGTGGAAACGGCTTATCACTGAATGCTGTTCCACTAATCTTCAAAATGTTTGGCTGATTTGAGGAGAGATTTAGACTGCAATCACGTGTTATCCCAACATTAATTCTGAGTCAAGCCATATTTGGAGAATACTATGAAAAACACGTGCTATCCTACAAAAATAATGTGCAATAAGTTGTGTTGTCAGTTTAAAGCATTGATTTAGCATTAGCATTATTAATTACTATAAAGAAAATAATGTGATTGAACAAAAAAAACAACAATGTGTTTAGGGGTAGAGTTGATTGAACGTGTACATAAACCAACCATTTAAAAATAGCACAACATATTGTGAAATGCCCCTTAAATTTTAGACAAATTTTTAAATGGCAAACTGCCTTTCAATGGTCTCCATCAACTGTTATGGTTGTAAACTCAGAAAGTGCCTTTATATGAACAGATTACGAAGCGCACATGATCCAAGATAACCATTGAACTGAGCTTGTCATCTCCAATGCTAATGAAAATCTCTGATGGTTTTACTGACCATGTGACTCATCCGCCTCTCTTCCTCCAGAAACAACTGATTCTCGCTGTTATCATAATCAAGACTCTGAAACACAAAATGCACTAGGTTTGACATTTTACATCACAGCTCTTCAAAGACAGTTTATTTAAAGTGTACATGGTGCATTTTGTCTGTGGTTTTTAAGTTCATTTACAGAAAACCCACTGATTTTTCAAAGCATTTTTAACAGACACTCAATTGAAAGAGGGTGACTGAAGGTCAGGTCGAGATTCAATTACCTCAAATTTGAGAGACAGCAGCTTTTCGTTGTGAGGGATTTCTTTTGGTCGACTTCTCACAATGTCCTGTGTGTTTCGGGAAAAACAGACTCAGAGTTGCCCGGCCGACATTCATCAAGGGCATATAATACAGTCATTCTATGCTCATGCAATCAGAATAGGACAACACTTTATTTAGCTACATCAACTCTTTGCAGCCATGAGCAAGCGTGACCTCATGCCAACACGTTGGAAACATAAACTCACAAATGAGTTTGCATACATCGTATGCATTTTCTCAAATTATTTTTCCAAAGTGCAGGCTGAAGAAGCCGATGAGTCAGGCATTTTCCTGGTCCTTTGGTCTCTCTAGCCAAAATGGCTGATTTGAGGAGAGATTTAAACTACACTCATGCTCTATTCTAACATTCAAAGCATCAAAACCACAAACACCTTGAAATTAAAGTGACGTGACATATGGCCAAGTATGGTGACCTGTGCTCTGCATTTCCCCATCCAAAGTGCACACACACAGCAATGAACACACACCCGGAGCAGTGGGCTGCGGCACCCGGGGAGCAGTTGGGGGTTCGGTGCCTTGCTCAAGGGCACATCAGTCGTGGTATTGAAGGTGGGAGAGAGCGCTGTACATTCACTACCCCCACCTACAATCCCAGCTGGTACGAGACTCGAACCCACAACCTTTGGGTTATGAGTCCGACTCTCTAACCATTAGACCACGACTTCCCCTAAAAAACTGGGGAAAAAAAAGAAAAAAAAAAAGAAAACTGAAACTATAGCTATGTGTCAAAACAATGAAGCACTTTTCTGGACCAGAGTATAGGCTTTTATGTGTATATTTACAGTACTGCTTTGTTTGTACGCATCTTTAGAAAAAAAAATATAAAAAAAGAATTGATGTAAAAAAGTTTTTACCTCTTCGGGTGTGATTTCCTCCTCAAGGTCCACAGTGCTCAGCCTGCCTATATGAAATATACCTCCCCCGGATAACTATGAACCAAATACATTACATTTATCAAGAGTCTACTAATTTTTAATATCTCTCTTAAAATCTTTTTTATAAAAGATCTTTAATATATATATA